CATTGTTGCTGCTGGAGTTGATATTGTTGTGATTTTCTTCTTGTTAGCTCTGCATCATACATAAGTGTACCRAAGCAATAAATTTAACTTGAGTTCTGAACTTTGAAAGTGCTTATTTTGTTCTTTTAGGTTGTTTGTTTGCCTTACAACTGCTTTCTTAATTAACAGTTATCTTTCAGGAGCAAACCTTTTAATCACATGGAAATTGACATAAGAAGTTCCAGCCAGATTTAGTCTATTTTTATTTCTAAATCAAAGCATACAAGGAGCTGGGTATGGTGGTGCACACCTGTAATCCCAGCAGCTCAGGAGGCCAAAGCAGGAGATCTTACAGTGAAAGCCAGCCTCAGCAAATTAGTGAGACCCTGTTTCAAAATTAAAAATTAAAAAAGGCCTGGGGATGTGACTCAGTGGTTAAGCACCTCTGGATTTTGAATCCCTGATTCAAAAATAAAATAAAATACTGTACAGAATCTGATTTAAACAAATGGGAATAAACATTACAGTTGGAATTTATCACAGTGTTGTTTTCCAATCTGGTTTGTTTCAAAACTGACCCTGATGTCCAGATTTTAAGCTATGAAATAAGACAGTAAAATCAAGGGCTAAATAGTGACGTGGCTATTTTAAAATCAGCATTTTCCTTAGCAACTTTTGCTATATCATGCTGTTTAGTACTAAACTCAAGGGAAGTTCCAGGGATAGCCCGTTGAAATCTAAGAGATTCATCCACTCAAAGTTGTAAACTTTTGTAGGTTCATGCTGCATTCAGGGTGGGCTCTCAAGAGAATAAGTTTGCCTTTTGCACCAGGAGACTTTAGTCTTTAGAAGGAACCCTATCAGAAACCCTTGCCTCAGTCCTGGACACTTCCATCAAGGAACCAATTGTGCCTGGGAGAAATCTAGCTGAACAGTTTGCGCTCCCAACTTCCCCAATTTCGGAACCCAGAGGAATGAAGCTGTATCTCGATTCAGATTTTTTTTTTTTTTTTGTAAATTACCTTTAGAGAATGGTGAATTTGCCAGAATGAATTAATTTTCATTCATTTAACATTGGTGGTGTGTCTACTGGTGTCCCTGGCACGTTTCTAATTGCAGAGGAAAATAACTTTTGCTGTTGTTATTGTTTGTTTTAAACCATTGGCCACCAGCACAGTGCTGGGCACTGTGATTGATAATGTCTGCCCCTCCTTTTGCTGAAGGCTACTCCAGCGCCCTCTGGAATCACCAGCCTGTGATTTGTACCTGTCAAAGATTTCGTAGTGAGGAATTAGTGTCTGTTCTGAACGCTGAAGTTACATACTGAAGCCAGAGACAGCGTTGCAAACCCGCAAAGTGACATGATCAGGAAATCCGCTTCCGGAGTATTCATTTCTTACCGTTTTGCGGTCACCCTTGGAAAATGCACGTCAAGGACACACATCCTTACAAACGATTTCAGGAAGTTCATATCTTAGAAGTCTCTGGAATTTTAAAAAGGAAGTCATTTCTGCAGAAGTTTTTGGCACCTGAGCGCAAGTGCGTTTCCACAACAGCCGGGAGTGGCAGTGGCCCAAGCGCTGCGCGCCATGTAGTGGCACCTCGGCCTTCGCCAATTAGTCACTAAGCTCGGCCAGGAAACCCAGGCCAGGGCTCGGAACTAAACTGCTGAAAAGCCCGAAGCCAAGAACTGGGTCTCAGGAGTGTGCGTCTGCCTCCAGGTTTCTGCGCTCTCCATGCCTAGTGACCCGCCACCCTAAGCCCTGCCTAGCGTGCTGTCCGTGTTTCCTGGCGCTGTGCCGGACTCGCGCTGGCGTCCTGCCTGACCAGTTCTTCCTTTCCCAGGTCTCGCCGCCGCCCAACGGGAGAGCCCTGCGGAAAGAGAATCTCAGACACMGGGTCCCAGCACCGAGTTTTCATTCTCTCACAGTAGTGCTGCCCCAAAAGTTAAGGAAGAGCATCTTGGAAGTTAGGCGTTCCAGATGTCTTCTTGAGCACGGAAGCCACAAATATGCGAAGGGAAAGAAAATGTGGCGCGAGAGACAAGCGTGCCCTAGGAAATGCAGAAGCTTCTGGGGACTAAGAACAGGTGTGCGATGGTCATCTAACTCGGGTTAGATGCCTGGGGCATTCGAGCACCCTTGGGGGCTAATTTCTGCCCCTGGGTCCTTGCATTCCCGGTCTTCCCACCCTCCCGCGCCTAGTCTCCAGATGCTGTATCACAGCATTGGCAGCTTCTTCACGGGCTGCTGCGTATTTCTCGCTGAGCGCCCAGACCTTGAAATCCCCCGGAAGCCGAGAAACTGCTTTCTCCCCACCCTAGCTGTTGAGACCCTCAAACGCCTTAGTCCTGACCTTGGCGCTCCTGGAGCTCAACGCTTAGGCTGAGTAGTCTCCAACCCCGTGGGCTGCGCGTAAGTGGAATGGTAGTCAATCATAATTGCGTGCGATGGTGCGCGCCAGTTCTTGGGAGTGTTTGCGGATATAGTAGAAGCAGACCACCATCCTACCGGTGTGTAAATGCGACTGCATCTGAGACTTAGGCAGACTTAGGACACATTTGAGAGTGAACCCCTAAGGGTGCCTCTGAAAACCGGTGTCTATTTTGAGTAGTGTTACTTTCCAGAGTGTGCGCGTATTTGGAGACTGTTAGAAATGTGTGTGTGTGTGTGTGTGTGTGTGAGAGAGAGAGAGAGAGAGAGAGAGAGAGAGAATGAGAAGTAGTATTGGCAAAGACTCCAAAGCACTCAAGCCCCCCCCCCTTGCTCTTTAGGCAAGGACTTTATTGCGGGTGGAGGGGGGTGCGGGCCGGAATCAAATGCCACTGGCACATCTCAGCAAACAGCAGCCTCCGGAAGCAAAGGGGCAGCTGTGCAAATGGCTCAGACAGGCGGACTAATGAGAAGTGATGGATGGCAGGGTAGGAAGAGGATGGAGGCTTTGGGAGCATCTGTCCCTTGCACCTCTCCCCTCAGATCCAGTTGGGTATGGGAGTCCTCACGTGATGAATCTGAACAGCACCCTGGGACAGACCAAAGTGAGTCAAGGCAGTCCCACAAGGTAAGGATTCGGAAACTATCGATAGAGATCTTTCCAAATCCCCTAGGTAGACCTGGAAGCTTCTGGATCTCTGACAAGTGGAGGTTGGGCAGTGGGCTACTTCTCACAAAATTTCTTCAAGATGGGACTGTGGTTCCCATTTCAAAGATGAGTACACTGAGGCTCTGAAAAGTTACTTGCCCGTGATCAGAGTCTGGAATGGTGCATCTGGAATTGAGCTCAGATCCCAAAAAGTTCACTTTCCCACTATCTCTGCTTCCCATGAGTTTTTTTCTCTCTGTGGGTGATACCACCTGCAGAGGTGGGTTCTTCACCGGCAGAGAATCCATCCTGACACCCACCCGTTAATCCTCCAAACCCTGCTTGGGCATGGGTCTAGGGTCAGAATTATGTAAGCCGGGAGTCTCTGCAGTCCTGCACCCTTCCTTCTAAAATCTCACACCTGAGGTTGGAGTGGGCTGAAGTTCAAAGCCAGGAGGAAATTAAGAAGTGAAATCTATCATGACGTCAAACTGCCCTCAAATTCCCGCTCACTCTCGTTCATTTCCACCATCCCCCTACTTCTATCAGTGACCTCAATGCAAATAAAAGTAGGGCCGTCATACTGGATGCTCCAGGTTGGAAGCATGGGGGTGACGCAATTGGCTGGGACATTGGACCCCTCCGCCCATTGGCCGCCTGGCGCTCAGGGACCCCTCCTGACCCACTGCGACCGGAATAAGAGCAACCGCTGGCGCTGGGAGCTACTGGAGCCACTGCCCAGCCCAAGTGTGGCTGCAACTTCCGCGAGGCTCTAGCTGGACGACACCGCAGCCCTCTCTGCTCCAAGTCACTGCCTTCCAGGTGAGCCGCGAGATTCCTGCTCAGGTGGTTATCCTCTCTCTCCCTCCCCTCTCTTCTTCCTCCCCTCTGACGGCATTAGTCTGTCTAGTAGTTTATCTCCCTGCCAATCTCAGATCTCTGTCCACTTCTGTCTGGGTCTCTTGGTTAAACAGTCTGTTAGTCCGCGATTTATCCCAGGTTCTGGCCCAGTAGGACTGGGCAGTGTCAGTCCGGGAGCTCCTTGTCCCTCTCTCCCTGAGTGATTGCCGGCTCCGGTTTCACATTGTCCCACTGCACGTTTGATATGCTAAATCTCGGGACACTTGGGCTCACCAGGCACCGCGCAAGCAGCAGGATGCAGCAGTAGCTTTCGGTAGATGGTGCATTCGGTGATCACTTCTGATGCCTAGCGTTCTTGGGAAACTGGTTCAGAGCCTGGGCCAGAGCGAATCCGAATCCGGGGCAAATGGGCTCAACTACGGAATGGCAGCAGCCCTAAACTGCAAGCCCCAGTGGCAGGTTCTGGGAGTGCCAAGAGATGTCTTGGGTCCCAACTTTAAGACTCTGTTAAGCTTGGTTCTTGCAGGCAACAGAGTTGCCAGAGGGAGGAGCAGCTGAGCTCTAGAAATGGTTCAATGTCTCAGATTGCAACTGCAGGGATATTACCTTTCTACTTGTCTCTCCCTCCCTATCTCCTGGTATGTACAAAAGCCCTATACCCCAAGACAGTTCTGGGTCTTGTTATGGGAACAGCTGTGTGGCAGGGCCCCTCCTAGAGTACACGCCAGACTTAGCCAACAGGTGTATGTGCCTGTGAGCAGCATTTGGGAAAGGTGGATAGGTCTGAGACCTCCCCACCTGTATGTCCTGCAAATCTTAGCTAAGATTGCTTCTCCAGCTTGCCAAACCCTGCCACATGCCCACTAGACCTCCCAGCAGTTGACTTGATTGATGAGTAAACAAAGATGAAGTGAAATATAGTGACCAGTCTGAAGCAATGCAACCAAGGAGTTGAGAAGAAGACAGGAACCAGGTCTTCTGCTTAGAAGAAGACAGAAACCAGGTCTGTGGGTTCACAGAACTTTGAATTGGTGGAACTGGTGCAGGAGATGACATCATTTTTTCCTTGCAGGGAGTCGTCATGGGCTTCCAGAAGTTCTTCCCAATCCTGGCTCTCAGCATTTTGGTCCTGTACCMGGCAGGCAGCCTCCATGCAGTGCCATTCAGGTAAGACAGCCTGAGGACACAGCTCTACTCCCCTCCTGCTTCCCCTGGAATCAAACAAATCCTTGTTTTTTTTTATTGTGGTATATACTAAATGTTCCTCTCTGGGGAAAATATATATAAAAGTATGTACTCATATGTATGTATAAAGTATCATACAGCTTACTACTATTTAAAAATTATATGGTACACATTTTATATCAGAAAAAGTTTCTAATAAATGTATATGCATGTATACATACATACATACATGAATTTCCTCCAGAAAGCTGGTTTTAAGTCATTTGGTCGTTATTAAATGATCATTATTAACTAGCTGCATTAACACTTAGTGCACAAAATTCCTGAAAATTTAACCATCACCTGTCTTAAACTTTTATGAACTGGCTCCAGTACACCACCGGCAGGAGGCCACACCAGTGCCTRCCTCCTGATGAAGACAGTGGCTTCAACCCTTGTTCATTGGGAGTTGGAGCAGCTGCATTCTTAGGGGAAGAATCAGAGAACAGGAAGCCTGGCTGCTTATCCCTGGGAGGAGGCAGGCAGGGGTTCAGAACCTGCACTAGGTTTGCTTCCCCTCCGCAGTTCCACCTTGGAGAGCAGCCCAGACCTGACCACACTCAGTGAAGAGGAAGCACGCCTCCTGCTGGCTGCACTGGTGCAGGACTATTTGCAGATGAAGGCCAGTGAGCTGCAGCGAGAGCAGGAGACAGAGGACTCCAGGTAAGCCTCCCCACTTGGCAAGCACAGGGCCTCTCTACCACCCCAGACATATCCAGGAAGGTGAATCCCAAGAGGTAGGAGAGAACATAATGGTCTAAATCCAGAAGTCTGTGTTCAGCAGGACCTGGGACTGGGACTAATCTGTTCTCAGGCTCAGCTAAAGATAGTGGTCAGCTGGAGAGACTATGGTTATGTCATATTTAAAAGTTCCATTTCTGAAAGTAGAAAAGGTATGGAATCGCTTAACTATATGAATCGATCTTGTGATCCTAGGAAGACCTTTCAGCATAGGATGAGTTAAGACTGGTAAGGATAAAGCCTGGAGCCAAGGATGGACCTGGTATATTTCAGAAGATTTTAGAAATTCAATTTGGCCTAGTTAATCTGCATATGATGTTCTTTCACACCCACCAGGAGCCTTCATTTTATATTTGCCAGGGGAAGGCAAAGCATTTGCAGGGGGTGGGGACAGATAGAGCAGTGTCTGAGGTAGGCCTAAGGCATCTGTGGAGATATGCATGTTGTCACAGGGCCAGGAAGAGCACCCTTTCCCAGCCCCAATTCCCTGTGCACCCTAAGCCTAGAAAAGAAATCGGCCCTTGCCTAGCCCCTTGCACTGACTGAGCAGAGGAATGTGTTGACCTGCATCCACCCTGATAATCCCCCTGTCAAGCATGAAGATCTGCACAGCATGTGGAATGCCAGAAAAAGTCACCCTTCCTTACCATTGCCCTGGCCCACTGCACCTCTGAGCCCTCCTAATAGAGGAATGAGCTATCCTCCTCCTGCCTGCATCTCCTTCCCACCTCATGGTTCCCCTGTCTGGTCTAACCTTCTGTTGACTGCCCACGGGGGCTGCCCCTGGTGCATGGTACTGTCTGGCATGTCTTTTCCCTGCAGCCTGGACAGCCCCAGATCTAAGCGGTGTGGTAATCTGAGTACCTGCATGCTGGGCACGTACACGCAGGACCTCAACAAGTTTCACACATTCCCCCAAACTGCAATTGGGGTTGGAGCACCTGGCAAGAAAAGGGATATGACCAGCGACTTGGAGACAGAGCACCGTCCTCATGTTGGCATGCCCCAGGATGCCATCTGAACTCCCCTTCTCCTTTATAACTTTCTTGCTTGCTTTATTCCTATAACTTGATGCATGTGGTTCTTCTCTGCTTGCTCTTCAGGCTGTTAGTGGTAGCTTTTCTATGGCAGAGGATGTCTGGAACCTCGGGTGGGCAGAGAGAAGGGAGAACTCACAATCTGGAAAAGAATCAACCAGGAAGATATCAGAGCAGGGGCAGTTCTCAGAGGGCCCTGGTGATTTCATAGCAAAGCTTTTCAGTCCTGCTTCTGAATGTGCGGATCATTTGGGAAATAAAAATATTTTCTAAAAAGACTTGAGCTGTGGTGGTCGTTGCTCTAGCCTGCATCTCAGGTGCCATGGTGTTTAGGACCTGTGCTTAGAAGTAGTCTTAGCCCTGGGGTAACTGGACACAGGGTGTGGTGATTGGTTACTGTAACTCATCTCAAGCAGCAAGAACAAGGGCACTAAGGAGCAGGTAAGCACCTGTAGGACTAGATGCCACAACCTCTTCTCTTCTTCCAGGTAAGACCAGAGTATTTTCATTTTCCTAAGAAGGGATATTTTGTGCTGGTAACTGTGAAATGAATTCTACAATCCTAGTGAATAGCCTTGGATATGACACTATAATTCACTCTAGTCTCATAAACCTTTGCTGATTTTTAGCTATTTGTACAGGAAAGATTGCCTGTTAYAGCCCTGTGCTCCATGACTAGTCACCCTTAGTCACCTTCGGGTTTTCTGACACTCCTGGGAATGTCTAAGGGGAGTGATCATGGCATTTTCCCTAATGGCCTTGTGATTTTCTGCTCTGATAATTATGTTTAGGAGAAACACTTTAGGTTAATTGATGCATCTCAGAGCAGCAACTTTACTATGATGGTCCCATGGGGTGGGTTCCTCCCCCAGCCCTCACTCACAGGCCTTCTTTCCTTTCTCCATTCTGCAAACCAGTGTCACTGCCCAGAAGAGAGCCTGCAACACTGCCACCTGTGTGAGCCAGCGGCTGGCAGGATTGCTGAGCAGATCAGGGGGTGTGGTAAAGGACAACTTTGTGCCCACTGATGTGGGTTCCAAAGCCTTTGGCCGGCGCCGCAGAGACCTTCAGGACTGAACAGTTTTGAATGGACCCAGGAAGAAGGTGACTACCTCATACTGTCAGGTGGGAGGATGGATAACCATGTATTTCAAGGATGTATTCCATACTGCGAGGCTCCTTGGGCCCATATCACTGAAAAAAATCCACAAGGGAAGGTGCACACATCAGTGTCTGGAGAAAGAACACCAAGACCCAATAGCTGAAACACTACTGAGTCCATCTTTTGTTTTTCTATTCTTTCTTTGTGACACTGAGATCATTAGGCCAGGAATACACATCCTGCTTATATGCCATTAAAATTGTGATTACTCTAGCCTTTGAGTTTGAAAGGTAAAGACATTATCTTTTTGGAGCTTATACTAAAATGCCTTGTACTTCTGAATTAAGAGCTGAGTCTTGAGTTCAAAAACTGTTGCCCTCTATTAGCTATAGGACCATGAGCCAGTCACTGACTCTCTCTGAGCCTCAGAAAGAGTAAATTGAGGGTTTAATAGAACCTACCTGCTAATATTAATATAAAGAGCAGATGAAATAATAAATGTCAAGAGCCTGACAATTAATAACTAAACTCTAGGTATTTTTTTATTTCTTGTAGGTCACAATGAAGCTAAACTCCACTTCTTTTAATGTGTAATGAAAGCAATGTATAAAAAAGTTGCCATGGAAGATATACATATTTGCATCCTTCTTGATATGGAAAACTACCTTCTTCATTTGAAAGAAACTAAAGCTGAGTGCAGAATAAGCTCATTGCAATTATCTATTGTACATCATTTTTATATTTGATTCTGTATCTAATAAACATGACAGCATGTCTCATTGGCTTATCTGATGGCAAATCTGGTCCTCATCAGCCATTCTGTTGATGTGGAAGCTCTGCTAAACCTCAGGGGGACATAAAATCACTGCCTCTTGGGCATTTGGGGACACCTGGTAATGTTATGCCTTGATGGAACTATTTGTTTAAAGAAATGTCAGTGTTGTCGTGAACTTCATCAAAATTTTAAAAAATGTATTTTCGATACCCTTAAATGAAATTTCTGCTGCTTTTTATGCTATTTTTCCCAGGAAAGCTTCAGGGGCCTGTGAATACATTGTTGACCAGGCTGACTTCCTTGAAGCAAAGGCAAAATGCTTGGGTTGGCTTCTCAGTCATGTACCCTCAGTTTTGAGTGAAACATCCATTATTCAAATTATAATCATGTGCATATCAAAGAGAACAGCCCCAGAGCTTATCCATGTACTTTCTCTTATCTCAAGGTTTCCCTGGACCCATCTTTGTCTTTCATTCTCAGAAGAGCCCCTTCATGCACCACTTAGCCTACAAAGCACTTTAGAAAGGATGGCTCCAAGTTCAAAATGGGGATCACAATGGCCCACCTAGAAAGATCACCAATGCCATTCAGTCCAGTTTTTTATTCTGTGAGGTACAGAAGAGTATCTTGCTTAAGGTCCTGTAATAAGTTTAACAGATACTTATTGTGCACCTGTCATATGCTAGCATTATTCTAGGCACTGGGAACTGAGCAATGAGCAGATGAGACCAAACTCCTTGTTCTCATAGAGCTTACATTTTAGTTGGGGTAGATTAAGAGGATTCATGCTGCAGAATCCTGGTCTCTCCATATGAGGAGGACTCTGGAATGTAATGGAGTCTCATGCCTTATTCAATGAAGTGAGTTCCCACTGTCAATATCCCTGGCATCTGGTATAATTCTAAGGTGACATGCTGGTTTCACTGGTAGACAGTCAGTTAATAGGGTTAGTTAGTTAGTCAGCCTCTTATACCACTGATTCTAATTATTTTCTCAGGATCACAGAGAATTATGTTCCTTGCGTGACCCCCCTCCAGTCTGTATTCAACACGGTAGCCCACATGTCTCTGTAAAAAACCCGTCTCTCGTGGGTTCAAAACACTTCAGTAACTCCCCATCTCACTGAATAAACTCTCGAGGCATTGCAATGCCTCAATCAAAAGCTGACTTGATCTCTCCCCACTCACAATCCATGTTTGGCTTCATCTCCTATTCTCTCACGCACTGGCTTTCTTACTTTTCTTCAGCCTCAACCATGGCATGTCTTTGCACTTCCAAGCACTGCTGTGTGGAACACTCTCATCTGATGGTCCCCATCTGCACCTGACCTTTACTCATATGTCACCTACCCTGGCCATCCTTTCTGAATGTACTACACCCATACAAGTACAACCTAACCCTCTTCTTTATTTTGTTCTTTTTACCATTTATTACCTTCTCCATACTGTACATTTTCCCTATTTATTTTGTTAATTGTTTGTATCCTTTATCATAAGTGTAAGTTTCACAATGGGCAGGGATGTGGCCATTTCATTAATTGCTATACACAGAACAGTTTGCCTGGCACAAGTTAGCACTTGGTAAGTATTTATTGAATGAATGAGTGAGTGAATGAATGAAATTAAATCTTCCCTTTTATGTTTGCAGTCAACTCTCAGGTTCTCTCTGGGCCTGATTTTCTTCAGTCTGAATTGCCCAATACCCTAAATCCCCAGTAGTCACTTGGAGAGTGAATTCCTCAACTCTCTGAAGGCTTCAATGGCTGCCACTCTGGCAATAATTCTGTTTCCTGCCACCAGGCCTTCACAAAGACATTTCTTCATTTAGACATGTCTCTGACCCAACTCTTCCTTCTCTTGATTAATTATGACCAGGTTTTCTTTTTCTTCCCATGCAGCAAACATAAAGACAGGCAGAGAGATCTCTAGGTTTGATACCTACCCAAAATTTACATGAGCAAGAAAAATAAATATTTGTAAATATAATTAAGCCATTGACATTGAGATTGCTTTGGTGTAGTGTTGCCATGGCAATTGTTAAATAATTTATAAGATTTGAGGCAATTCTACACCAAATTCTCTCTCTCTCAGGTTCATACATTGAAGGCCTAACACCCAATGTGACTGTATTTAGAGACAGAGCCTTTGAGGAGGTAATTAGGGTTAAATGAGGTAATAAAGGTAGGACCCTAACCTGACAGGACTGGTGTCCTCATAAGAAGAGAAAGCTCTCTGTCACTGTCCATGCATACAAAGAGAAGAGGCCAGGTGAGGACACAGTGAGAAGGCTGAACCTGCAAGCCAAGACACCAATTCAAATAGCACCTTGATTTTGGACTTCAGCCTCCAGAACTGTGAGAATATACATTTCTGTTCTAAGCTGGCTAGTCTGTGGTATTCTGTTATGGCATCCTGAGCAGAYTGATAGAGGGGGCATTACAGAATGGAATTATTTTTGCTACCATAGCTTGTTTTTCATCTTATTGAGATTTTGTCTCTAGATTAATTTGCTGAATGGCTAATTTGGCAAAATTTACTTGGTTCCTTTTACTAATTCATCTTAGTAACCATTTTCGTTAGATCTTCTTAAAATCATCCCAAAGGATATTCACTTTATCTCTATTCCAGCCTCCTGTTACTGATACTGGAAAATATATACTTTAGACAAATTCATTATGGTTTATTCATATAATACACATATATAATACACTATACTGCATTAACATAAATGTGTATGTCAATTTGTATAAATCATACAACATTGAGTACAAAATAAAGTTAGTTGCAAAGGACACATACCAGGTTATACCATTTGTTTTGAGCTTGAAATATGCATAACAGCACTTTACATAATGTATGGATAAATATGCTGTGGTAAAAATAATCATGTCATGTATAGGGGTGATACACATCACATTTAAAAGAGGGATTACCTTTGAGGGGATGGAAAGGAAATATCATGAAAAGAGAGTTCTACCAAGGTTTTGTTTCCAAAAGTTTTAATTTCTAAGCTGTGTAGTGTGTATATGGATATTCATTATATTTGTGACTAATAGGAATAAATAAACATAGGGATGGAGCTTGTTAAAATTAAGGCAATCACCACAAAAAATAAACAATAACAAATAACTTTTAAACTAGCCATATAATCTGTTCTCTTTAATGCAACAGAGAAACTAAAGAAATAGAAAATGTATAATAAATGGACCATGAGAAAAATAATGGCAGTAATATATTTCTATATAGCTTTAAAATAACTAAATTAAAGTCATCAATTAAAAATCAAGATTATTGATTTTCAAAAGGATCCAGCAATATTTCTTTTAGTTTTTGCTTTTTTATAACTTTATTTTATTTATTAATATTTTTATGTGGTGCTGAGGATCAAATCCAGTGCCTCACACATGCTAGGCAACCACTGAACTACAACCCCAGCCCCATGGTTTTTTTAAAAGAAACTTTTAGAACAAAAGGATTCAGAATTGATTAAAAGGATAGTAAAGGATATATGAAACAAATACAAACAAGAATAATTTGAGACAACTTCTTAGTAGGTAAAAAAAAAAAAAATCAAGGCAAAATGCCCTATGGAAAAAGGATGGGTATCACATATCAGAAAAAAAGAATAGAACTAAAGGTATATTTATCATGAACACATACACACCAACAATATGACCTCAAATTATGCAAAAAAGCAACTGAAGAATTGTTCTTAGAGAATGAATGTGCCCTTCTCAAAAAGCCATATACTTCTAGAATAATCATGCCAGTGCTCCACTTCAGCTGTTTGGGATCCTTCCACAAATCCAATCCCCTATCAAAATGTCATGGTAAGAAGAAATTCCAATTCTAGGCTATTTGTACTAGGATGGAATTGTTTTATGAGAGTTTAGTTTAAAACTCCAATTTATAGTTTCCACTTATTTATTTTGTATCTTAATACCTATTTTCCTTTTTTATGACATTAGAGAAAGATCAAAATCTTTGATTTTAAGAATTAGTGCAATAAAATCTTCATTCATCTTATTTTTTCTAGTCTATAACAATAAAGGAATTAAATTTGTTAGAATAAAAAAAGGACTGGGGATGTGGCTCAGTGTGTTAAGCACCTCTGGATCCCCAGTACCAAAAAAAAAAAAGAAAGAAAGAAAGAGGGAAAGAAAGGAAGAAAGAAAGAAAGAAAGAAAGAAAGAAAGAAAGAAAGAAAGAAAGAAAGAAAAGAATGAAAGAAAGAAAAGAAAAGAAAGAAAGAAAGGGAACATTTTATTCTCTTTTATGTACTAAGAGTTTTTAAAGATAAATAGATATTAAATTTCTCAAAATACCTTTGAATATCTAATAAGATGATCTTCTGGCTTTTCTCCTTTGACTTATTAATACAAGTAATACATTCCTAAATGTAGAAACCAGTAATAACAGCTAAGATTTTTGAGTTCTTACTACATGGAGGAGCTATTCATAAATGTTTTAAGATATTAACTCATAATCTTTACAACTTTTAAAAGTAGGCAGGCACTAGTATTAGCCCCATTTTATGGACTAGGAAACTGAAACAAAACTGTTAAGTGGGCTGTCTGTACAGATATTAGATTTATATCAAGATGGAAATCTGATCTTAGGCTATCCAATTCTACAGTCTGGATCTTTTAAACCTTTATACTGCTGCTTGATAAACTATACTTGGTCAGATAATAGGTATAAAAATATACTACTAAATTCAATTTCTTTGTTATTTATGTAAGATTTTGTACTATTTTTGTTGGGTGTAGAATTGGAGCTATGTTAATGTTAAGAAATGAGCTGAGAAACTTTTGAAATTTTTCTATTTTAGAATAGTGTAGATACATGGAAACTAGCTAAGTCTTAAGATTAAAATCACCTGTAAAACTTTCTGGCAGAGTGTCTGTTATTTTTATTGATTTTTAAAAAATAAACAAGAGCAGAATGCATTACAATTCTTATTACACATATACAACACAATTTTTCATATCTCTGGACGCATGTAAAGTATGTAGACATCAATTCCTGTTTTCATACATGTATTCTGGATAATGATGTCTATCACATTCCACAATCCTTGCTAATCCCCTGCCCACTCCTTTCCCTCCCACCCCTCTGCCCTGTCTAAAATTCATCTATTCTTCCCATGCTCCCCCTACCTACTCCACTATGAGTCAGCCTCCTTATATCAGAGAAAACATTGGTCATTTGTTTT